TAAGGTATAGTAGTTGAAGGAATTAATTCAGTAATGCACCATTGAGTGAACTGATTTGATCATGAATGTATCAGTTTTGAACTAATTTAATAAAATACAAGAAACAATATCCAAACAATTAATAAGTATGCAAATGGTTCTGATTTATTTGAGACCACCATTTCAAGTAATAATGGGGAGCCAGTCAGTTGAATCTTGGAAACATTAATCCTGAATAAAAGTGTTCCCGTTAAATAGCATATTGCTGCTTCACTGATCTTGCTTAGGTCCACCTAGCCATTGTCAGCAAGAATACTTGTATATGATGCCCATTGTAGATAATGTTGACTGATTTTCTTCACTTTCCATCGACTAAAAATTGTAGAATTAACAATATAATTTGCCACCTTTCTTTTTAGGGAGAAAAAAAGAGGCTAAAATGGAGAGGAAAAACGGAAACGATGTTGTTAGAGATTTTGGGTCAGTTAGATGATGAAAGACTAGGCAGCCAGATAAATGGACCATGTTACCCATTTTTAGCACATGCAGTTTCAGTTGGAAGTCACAGACTTTTGATATTTATTTTGTACAAAAAGATTAAGGAACTAACATGATCTCCACCTATGGAATAAAAAAAAGATTTAAAGCAATTCAAACTACTATAAAACCCCCCTTATTAGTACACTTTAATTGAGACATAAAAATTCACATGTCATAACAGTTATAAAGCCGATGCATTTTATAGTTACTACACATTTTGGAATTTTATCACTACACTCAAAAAGAAAATGTCATAATAAAAGACTATGTTGAGACACTTAGAAGAGTTCATTAGATCACTACAAAATAAGTTTTATTTCCACAAATTATTTAATTTTTTTTATGAAAGATAATTAATGAGCCTTAAAAAGATAAACTCACCAATTAGATTATTCCCAAATTAATCCTCCTAAGTCCTAATTACCCCGAAACTAAAGAAACCCTTTCTGGCCTCCAACTAAATCTCTTCGGTGACGATGCTAGGGGGTCATCGCACCCATTCGCTCAGCTATCAAACTTGAGTCTACATGTTTGTTTGTTGATCATTGCAGGTTAATTTATTCAAAAATTCCTTCTCATATTCTATTACTAGTGTTTCTCTCACTTTAATTGGTGGAATTTTTAGTTTTTTGGGATTAATTGTGTTAGGTTGGTGCGGTTTTTTAGTTTATTGGGATTAATTCTTTGGGATTTATGATTTGGGATAATTAAATTCGTGTTATTGTTTTGATGATGAAGGAAATTCGTGTGTTAGATTTGTGTTGATTATTTCCCCTTTTTTTCTCTACGCAGGGCTGCCTAGGGATTTTGAATGAGGAATAGAAACGGATTTTAGGTAATAAAAACTCAACCTTTTTGGCCTTCTTTTTCTCTCTGCCTATTGGCCGGAATCTACCAATCTATTAAATAATCAAAACAATCAAACCTACAGACCTTATTCTAATATCCCTTAGTTTCTTGTACTTTCTTCACGTTTTCATAATCATCACTATCGTAGCAAACTGGATCACCGCGATCATAATCAGGTTTTTTTTTTTTTTTTTTTACTTTTTTTTTTCAATTCTTGTCAAATATAGCTAATAACACATTACTTTGTTTTATGAAGCCAAACAAGGCACAGTTGGTGATGTTGATCCATTGAGCTGGTGTTTTAAGCTTATGGCCTTCGGTTCAGAGATGGAAATTCCCCACTATATCAACTTGTAGCTCCGCGAAATCTCGGGAATAACTAAACCAACTTCGGTGACTACTAGTTCGATGAATGCATGAAAACGAGGAGAGGTGGAATCAAGAACTGAAACAAAGGCGAAGGATTTCTTGATGTAATTGTTAGTGGTGCATAAGTAGTGCCATTGGTATTCTTGATGTGAAAGGAGGGTACTTTTATAGTTAGTCCTCTTTGCAGATGTATAAACTTCTATCTCAAAGAAGATTTTAGAATTTAATTGGAAGTTTAAATAGTAAAGTCTAAATTACATATTTTGTTGTAAGTTCTCTTTTTATTTTTCATTTGTTTTCCACATGTAGCCTTCAAAATCAAATAATAATAATAATAATAATAATAATAATAATAAAAAATTCACATACAAACAATATAAGTTGATGTCATTATAATCGTATTATAATTATACTTAAAAATGTCTTAATAGTTGAAGACCTATTGCCACATAGAAATATAAGACACTTATCATAAGTGTCTCAACAACTAAAGTTCCTCAATAAAGTAGAAGAGAATACAATTTTAAGTGTCTTTGTATGGGGTTTTTCTAGTAGTATCAAACTATACATTGTCTTCAACATTGATCAATGTTCTTGAACAAGTATCCATTGTTTTGTCCAAAAAAGTGATATGTCACATATATGTTAGGATCGACAATAATGGTGAAAGACAGAACTGGCATTAGCCTATTTAGGAGGATATGAGTTTTCATTTTAAAACGTTTCATTGAGCGCAGATAAAATATTTTAAGCGTGCATGTAAAATCATTTTCAAACTAATCCTAGATCAACCCTGGGAACATAAGGTGATTGGGTCTCCCTTAGAGTTTATAATTCATTCTGATATATAAATAATGAGAAACCTATAAAAGATTCGAATCTTTCTGTCAACGATAAAAAAGCTAAACCCAAGACGTGAATACCTTGCCTTCAAGCCACCAGAAAACCCCGCAAAAGATAAGGTTCAAATCTTTTATAATTTTGCTTTTTTTTACACATCACATTAACAAACAAAGACAATAATTTTATAAAGCAGACATTTTATGATCGATGTAGTAATTAGGAGGATTAAAATGGATATGAATGAAGAGAAATAAACTAATGTGAACACTACTTCTTTTTTTTTCATTTTTTACAAATTATATTCTTAAAATGATTGGTTTATCAAACACGTTCTTAGATCACTAACAGTTTCGGATTTTGCCCTCAACAACTTCTTGTTTAATTGGCTGGAAGAACAACATGGCATTGCTTTGGAGATAAGAAATCAAGGTTCCACTTGGAAGGAAACCAATCCGGGAAGGTATACATAATTGTACAACCCAAATGCTTCAAACATAAATATTCATATCTCTAACTTTTCGTTCAGATTTAGCTCTGATCCATTGTTTTGACATGTTATTTCAAGTTGCACGATCTATTTTCGTGATTATAAAAATGTTCATTCAATGGTTCTTTTAATTAATCAGTTATGGCATTCAGCATTTTAACTTACATTAAGGAAGCACAAAACTAAAGGTGAAGACGATATAGTGCTAATCAATGGAAAATTACTAGCAAGAGACATCATCAACATTGATTTGAGCCATACTCTTCTTCTTCTTTTTATATACAATAAAAGAGGCAATACCATGAGAATTAAAATTACATACAGTTTACAGCTGACAAACACTGATTAAATACTGTTCAAGCCATGGACGTATACCAGCCAGTGAAACATAGAGTTGTTGATATCCTAATGAGCTGCTCAATTAATGCAAAACAGGCCATCGTCTCTCAAAACATATGGTTCACTTCAACAATCCAATCCCTTCTTAACAACTATAGCGATATCCTTGCTGATGCAAAAGAAGAAATGTTTAATAAGTTCAAATAACAATAAATTTTTTTTCCCTTAATAATACATATTCTCCAATCAATTTCGTAGCAAATAATTGACATGCTTACACAGGAAACCATTTCCCGTCAATTTGCGATTATCAGTATAGTTAATATTTATAGTTACTTCACTCACTAATTGACATAAATTCTCTGAAATTCCTCTCCATCAGAAAAATAGTAGTGACTTTTAGCTCCACAAATAAATATTCATAAAGTTTCATTTGAAGTGTACTATCTTCTTTTAACTAAGTTATTTCATGTCCTTAATCATTTCTAAAATGAAGACACTAGGTCTTTTAACTAGGAGTACACAAGGATGATTTGATTATAGTTTAATAGTAAGAGACTCAATCATCATGAGTCAAGATTGGACATTCAAATTTTGCGAACACCCTGCGTCATCAAAAAGGAAAAAATAGGTTAGTTGTTAGCTAGTATTTAGTATATAAAAGGAATCAATGAGTGGAGTGTCAATGTCAGGTTAGTTTGGGTGTTTGAATATCCCGGACCTTGGTAAATCAAAAACACCAAAAAAAAAAAAAAAGAGGTTAGTGTAATAGATTTAAATGGAAAAAAAAAAAAGAGTGGAAGCTTGCAGTGTTTGTCAAGATAGTGAGCTAGTTCGGGTATTTGAAACTTGCGAATACCCTGCAAACTTTTTCTTTTTTTTGGTACAATGAAGGAGGCTAATGCCTAAAATATTAGAAAAATAAACAATCATATTTTTTAGAATTATCAATAGAACCATTGAAACTTACTATCAATGTCAAATGATAATCACATTGTAGTTGTCCAACCAAATTGCTACACAAAACGCTCCATAAACATTATGGCCTTCCTGGTCTTGGAATCTCCCATGCTCAAACACCCTGCCAAAAAATGAAAATAAATTAAGAAAGAGAGCATTAGTTGAATAGCATATAAAATAAAAAGGAAATAAAAATGGAGCAGAGTGATTACAAAAGCTAACCATATTTGTCGACACCATAAGTTGGATGGTCCTAATCTTCCTGGAAGACACTCTGCTACACTTGAAACTACCTACTACAACGACCACAACAAAAGAAAACATGACTACTACAACATTAATATATAAAAACAACCCTTGTAAAAAGCTCGAAACATGATTCCCCCTATTATTTAGCCACTGTAAGCCCCACCTGAGAACTTGTTCTCGGGATAAAACACGGCAACCACCAGAGTCCCCACAAATTTCTAGCCATTCAGGCCGTCACACACTTTCCGTGACGCTCTCTACATCGACAAACTCCAAAAAAACTCTACCAACCCCGGGTAAGAGTTCCCCGTTCGGGCTAGGCCGGGAAACACCAGGCTCGGCGCCAGAATCCTGAATTTCCCGCATTCTGACCTCATATTGTCAACTATCTCCTCATAATCAACATCATTAATGAGTTCATCAACACTAACAACATCTTTGAGGCAAACAACCTTAGAAGGGGTGGCAAGAGCTTGAAATATGGACATTTTGAGAGCAACCTGTTGTTGAGCAATAATGCCCATTCTTTCTTCGGCCCAAGCTGCTGATTCCAACCCTGATTTGCACGCCTGACGGTAAGAATCTTCCCGCCACCTACCTGAGTTCTGTTAAGAACAGCACAGGCCATATCGGCATCCGATGAATCCTTGTAGACACAAAAGGCATACCCTTTTGAGTACCAAGTTTCTCCATCTCTGACCAGGCCAAAACCCCTGAGGGTACCCAACGACTCCAGCAGCTCTATGATTTGGGCTTCCGAGACGTTATATGGAAGCCCGCCCAGAAACAGGCGGTCTGGGCCTTCAAGCCCCGCGGCGGAACCCAGATTCAGACCAACAACAACTAGATTCAAGTTGGGATTTGGCTGGGTGGGGCCGATTGAGGTGGATTTAATCGGGTTGTAATCTGTGGGTCTTTGTACCTTAACGGGTCCTCCTTCAAAAATAATCCCATCTAAAGCCATAGCATTGCTGGCTTTTTCAACAGAACGCATCTCCACAAAGGCGAATTTCTTCTCGTTGTTTATATAAACATTCACCACCGCCTCTCCGGTTCCGGTGTTGTTCCTACCGACGGCACTCATCACGTGGCTGCAGAACGCCGCCACGGAAGCATCGGTTGCCGATGCTGGGAGCCCGCCGATGTACACTCGCCGTGTGTGGCGTGTTGCCTGGAGGGGCAGGAAATTCTGAACCGGAACCTGAACTGGTAGTTGGAAGAGAAATTGCATCGCCTATGGAGGCTGAGCTAACTCAGGTTGCGCAATATCGAAAAGGATTTTTTGGGCTGATTTCGAGCGTGATGAACGAGGAGGAGGAGAAGGTGTGATTGATCTTCTCTTTGACTTCCAGTCTCGAGGTCTGGTTCGACGGGTACTCGGCCTATCACTGAAATCTCTCCAATCATAATTCCGACTCCTCTGATGATCATCGCCATGGTCTCTGTGTCGGTGTTTACGGTGTCGCCGATCCCCGTCCCGGCCGCTGTGGTTGCCTCTCCCGGTTTGGGAGTGAGGAGGCAAAGGAACATTATACTTTTCTAGCTTTTAGCCGGTGTTGGTACCTCTAGAATCTGCCACTGATGACATGGTTTTTCTCTTTCTTTTTGCTCGTTTTTTTTTTGTTGCTTTTGCCCAATTGTTTTTTATTTCTTAGTAATCTCAATGGAGTAAAACAATAGAAGTGCACCGCTTCTTTGTTAAAGCAAGTGTTGGACCTATTTATTGACACAGGTTTTCTTGGTAAACCAACTCAAATATATCGAGCTTCCTTCCTGGAAAGACTAATCCGAATAGAATTCGGGATTGGATTATTAGCCGGATAAATGACAAGTCGTCGTTACACTAGTCAAATATTAATTACCTACTTAATAAAATTACTAGTACTAAAGTAGCAAGTAGGGTCGATCCCACAAAGAAGGATACAAAGTACCAGGTTAAAGCTATTTCTTATTATTATTTCGATTAACAACTTATCAATTTTAAATTATTTTAAACCTAAAACTAACAATCACAATTATTTAAAGATATAAATAAGTAAAAGAAAAACCTAGGGCAAAGGGTTCACCAACCGACTATTCAGTTTAATTTAATTTATAGATATGTGACTTTCGACTCTCATTAATCTAACGACGGCTACACATCATCTCAAAAATAAATAAAACAATGAAACTCAGGAGAAGTAGGCCAAAAGTTGAGTCCGAAGTTGCTTGTTTCCTCCTCCTCCGATGATGGTGCGTAGGTGGTGAGGTGATGATGATGCGTGGGAATGGAAGGGTCTAATGGTGTAGGGCTGATGGAGTTGGTCGTGGAGATGGAAGGAGCAAGGTGGAGGTTCGGTGGTAGTGCGTGGGCAGCAAGGTGGGGGAGAGGTGATGGAAAGGGTTTGGTGCGTGGAATGTTATGGGGGGGGGGGGCTGACTTCGGTGATGATGATGATGAAGAGAGGCGATGGGTGGTGCAGAGAGGAGAGGGGGCTGCTGGATGGGTGGTGCGGTGAAGGAGAGGGGTTTTTGGTGAGTTTTTTTTTTTCGGTCAAGTTCTCCTTCTCCAAAAATAAAACCCTAATTCTCTTTTATAAACTTTCGTCAAACCCTATTTTTTCATGAATAAGAAAGTTTTTTTTTTTTCAAGCCAATTTAAATTAAAACTCCTCCAACTCTTCAAGTGCTTCAATTTCTTTCTTGTCAATTTATCAAGTCTTCAATTCTCCCTTTGAGTTGCTTTTATCTTCATTTTAGCCCAAAATTTCAACAACTCCTCCATTTGAGTACAATTCCTACAGAAGATAAAATCACATAAATAGCATATTTGTACTCAAAATATATTACAAAAATCACAAATTAGGGATATAATAAATAGGTAAAATATAAGCATATCAAATACCCGCAAACTTGAATTATTGCTTGTCCTCAAGCATTCCCAAGAACTAAAACAAACAAAAACATTTAGTTATTTAATTTGGTGGCCTCAGAGATTTAATATCATATAACACCAAGACCTTGACTACCTCTAATATGCACTACCTAACAAAATGCAAACCATAGCTACTTTTAGCCCCCACGCTTGTGGGTGTGTGCGATTCGTTTCTTAGGGGCATCACTTTACATTTAACATAGAAAACAAAAGTTCTAATGCAAATATGTCATTTTACTTTAAAAACAGACTCACATTTCATACAATATTTCAATGCAATGGACCACCAGACATGCTATGAAGTAGAAGGACTTATCTCACAGACAACCTATTCCCCCTCGTAACCCATTTTTTGGTCCATGCGGCTTTTCTTTAGGACTCTTTCCAACTCAGGCCACTACCCAGAGTATTTTTCCACTCCTATACATAGTGGCTCAGCGACTTAGGGTAGTCTATATATCTATTTTTCCTCACCGGGCCTAAGGACTCTTCGCTCAAGTTGTCAATTCCTCAACTCTCAATGGGGCTAGCATCAACATTGAATGCTCTTCCTTTCTCCCTCATTAAAATTAACCTAACCTCAGAAGCATCTGCCAACACCCCTCCCCAAACTTACTTAACACAAAGTGTCAAAGCAATAAGGTTTTTTAAGCCTGATATTGGGTTAATGCCTTGCTTTTCCTTCACAACATGATGGGTTCCACATACAAACTATATAAGTATGAGTGAATCAAACACAACTTTCATGGCATATCTACATCAAACTCATGCAACCTTGTCTCACTTTAAACATATCCCATAGTCACAACTAAGTACATATAAAGCAGGGTATTCAAAGAAACATAGAAATAAATAAGTTAATCAATACAATTCAAAATAGTCTAATTCTTTCATGTTATAGATAATCAAACCAACTTCATCATAGGCCTTTTTGGATTTTTCAATTTTTTCAATTTTTATGGTTTTTTTTTAATTTAAGAAAGATAAACACAAAACACAAAACACAACACAAAACAAAAATATTCCTCTCCCTCACACTCAAAGCATACATTGCCCTCAATGTATAAAACACAAAAGACAAGAAAACCAAGTGAAAAGTAAAGAAAAGACAAACAAAAAAAAAAAGAAAAGAAACGACACAACCTTGGGAATGTGAAGCGGAAAACGGAAATTGTTGAAGTTGAAGAATAAAGAGATCTGTTGCATAACCATCCAAGAATTTTCCATCACCATTTATTCTAGAGAGTAGCTGCAACGCATAAACAAAAACAAAGGTAAATTTTATCAGGTAGATGATTAAGAAAAATCACGAAAATTTAGAAATCAAAGATTTCCAAATAATCATGAACAAAAAACTTAACCATCAACTTATTTGCAAATTTAAGAAAATAAAATAAAACGAATTAAAACTTAGGTTGCCTCCCAATAAGCTATTTTATAGTCTTTAGCCGGACCCCAAGGCCAATCAGTCAGAGTACCCATCTCGATATCAGAAGAAACCATGTTCAGCAGCAACAATGAATCTCTTGTAGTGGTTCTACTTGCGATGAGAAAATATAAACTTATACTCCAACACTACATCATCCTCTTTCTCAAATTCAATTTTGTACCATTGATCCTCTTCTTGGTCTTTCATTGAAGCATTTTTCGCATCATCCTCAAAATCTCTTATACTAGGGACAACCTCACCACATATGTCTACTTCAAACCCTTCTTTTGAAACTATAGGAATGTTCTGCTCAGTGAAATCAACTTGATCCACATTTTTGTCACCAACTCTAAGAATGAGCAAATCATACTTAAATACTATGTAGATACCAGAAGAATCCGGAGAACTAAGAATATCTGGACTGTTAATCTCTTTGTTCTCTTCTAATTATTCACTTTCAAGGTCAATTTGAGATGGTGGATAGCGAGACAGGACCAATAAATTATCTTCAGAAACTTCTCATTCTTATTCAATTTAAGCAAATTTCCCATAGGATCATATTACGGTAACCCCACACTCAACCTATATTGATTGACCTCTTCAATAAGTTGTTGGCCTTTTTCACTTTGAAAATCTCGAAGAGCTGCCTCTCCAACGGTAAGTTGAGGTTGAACAGGTGGTTGCTGATACGAAGATCCTAACTGTCTCAAAGTGGTTTGACAAGGTGAAGACTGTAAGGCTGCGAGCTCTCTCAGAGTAGGTTGACGAGTTGCGAACTCTCTTAGACTGGGTTGACGAGCTGTTAACTCTCTTAGAGTGGGTTGAGGAAGTGGTGGTTGATATACTGATGCATTTGGGTGGTAACAATCCTCTTAAGAGAAATATGAAGCATTTTTCTTCTCGATGTCATCCATCAATTTATCAATTCTCTCCAAACATGACAATATCTTAGGACTCATATACATGCTCTCAAAACCAGAATTGTACCCAGAATCAAATGAATACCCTTGATAATCACAACCATAGTAAGGATCATAAGACGAATTGTTCTAAGAGTGAAAATCTTCTTGATATGTAGGATAGTCTCCATAGTCAGAATTATAACTATAATACGGAGTTTCTCAATATCCATAGTTAAAATTCTCCATAATAGCTCAAACATCCTACAAACATATTGACCCAAGAAAGAAAAGAGAATAAAAATAAAAATAAAATAAAAATATAAATTAATAAAACAAAGGAAACTATATACAAATCTAAATTAATAAAAGAAATAATCTAGTTTTGATATTGGTTATGCCTTCCCCGGCAACGGCGCCAAATTTGACTAGCCGTCGTTACATTAGTCAAATATTAATTATCTACTTAATACAATTACTAGTAGTAATGTAGCAAGCAGGGTCGATCTCACAAAGAAGGATACAAAGTACCAGGTTAAAACTATTTCTTATTATTATTTAGATTAACAATTTATCAATTTTAAACTATTCTAAACCTAAAATTAACAATTGCCATTATTTAAAGATATAAATAAGTAAAAGAAAAACCTAGGGCAAAGGGTTCACTAACCGACTATTCAGTTTAATTTAATTTATAGATATGTGACTTTCGACTCTCATTAATCTCTCGACAATTCACCAATTTAAGAATTATACACTCTTGTGTCAAAACCCTCTTACTTAAACTAATCCTATGACTACTCTCGTGACTATAGAGATTAATAAAAGTACATTAAGAACTTTGGAATTACTAGTCGCAAAGGCGGTGTTCCTACTCTCGTGGCTCACTATCTAAGTTTATTACTTTTACAAACTAATACTAGCCTTCCACTCTCGCTACTTCAGCTAGCACCATAAAGCATGCAAATATTGATAAGGTATTTACATGG